ATAAGTTGATAAAAAAGAATTATGAACAGCAAGTATTAATTCTACAGGGAGAAGTTTCATAAAACTATAATTTGAGCTGGACCTTGAATATGGACTGGTTTCCCAATATGGCAAAGGGAGGAAAGGGTATTTCAGGTAAAGGGAGCAGCATGAACATAATTATTAAGACATTAAAGCACATGGTGCGGTAAAAAAAGAGTTAATAGATCTAGAAATTATGTAGGTTCCCTGTTAGTAGATCTAGGCTTTGAGCATCAAATGGCTGCTAATATTGAAAGAAAACGAGGTAAAGACTACGCGCCTTCTGATAGAGGAACATACCACCACTGAAGTAACCTTGCCCCCCAAATTAAACCTTAATCTTATCAAGGCTCTAGATCTGTCAACTTACAGAAAATACAGAGGTGCAACTGGCACAATCCAAACTGGAAAACTGCAGGACAGATGAAGCTGTTTCTTCACCAAAAAAACTGCATGGGAAAAGTGCGGGAGTGGGGAACAGCACACAGAGAACACACAGATTAAAAGACATCTCAACCAACCAATGTATGGATCACATTTGGTTACTAGCTAAAACTGCAAAAATATATGATTAGAAATTTGAACACTCACTGGATACTTGATATTAAGGAATTATTCATTTCTGGTGTAGTAATGAATCTGTGGTTACTTTCTCTAAATGTTCCTTAACTTTTAGAGCTACATACTGATATATTTACAGGTGAGCTAATGGCAGGAGGGATTATATAGACAGAAATTTAAATAAAACAAGACTGACCATGAACTGACAATAACTGAAGCAGGTACATGAATATTCATTTCATTATTCTGTCTTACTATTGCATATTTTTTAATAATAATCTGTTTTTTAAACAGGAAGGTCAAAGCCTCTAGGTCTTGTTTCCTCTAGCTTTTAGATCAAACTGTCCCTTCAAGACTTGGTTTTCCCTGAGATATTTCTCATAACTGAGACTGTGAAATCAGGTATCACATCTATGTAGAAGTATTATGCATGAAAGGAAATAAGGCCTTGAATTATTCTCAAGTTTTGAGATTTATACTTTAAAGTTATTCTGCTAAACTCACTTTCACTAGGCTTCATCCATAGTGCCCAGTCAGAACAAACAGCAGCTATTAACTAAAAGGCAAGTGAAATAAAACATCACAAAATTGAATCATATTTTACCCTTCAAAATTGAAGTGAACATGATAAACTAACTATTATCAAGGCTCGAGAAAAGAAATGACCCCTAAGGGTAGGTATATATAGCAAAAGCTTTTGTAAGCAATGTTTGGTTTCAAGCTCTTGATGGAAACCTATCACTACTTATCTCAAAGTAGACATGTACTTTAAAAAAAAAGTGTAGCTTACTGGAATAGAAGAAAACAGAAATGCATAAACAGAAACAATTTTTAAAAAAAACACCGAAAAGTTGGTATACTCTGTACACTATTCCAAAGATTCTTTCATGCATGAATTTTTATTGGTATAACAAGAATGAAACCAAACTTAATCCAGTCAAATTGTACATTATTTGAAAAAAACTGCTGCTTTCTCTAAAATAGTTTAAAGTTTAGGGGGAAAAATGTATCAAATTTTAATTTATCTTAAAATATTTTAGGTTTTATAATACTGTTTGTTTATTTTATTTTTATTTTATTTTATTTTTTTGGCCGAGCCACGCAGCGTGTGGGATCTTAGTTCCCTGATCAGGGGTGGAACCTGCACCCCCTGCAGTGGAAGCATGGAGACTTAACCAACAGACCACCAGGGAAGTCCCTGTATCATAATTTCAAATGTCAGAAATGTGGAACAGGGAGAAGGTAACTACAAACAATAAGAAACAATGTCATTCCTACTCAAAGCAGCTCACAAGCAACAAGTTAAAAACACTAAATGCCAACTTAAAAAATATTTTATGAAATGTGTTAATTCCAAACTGAAAGCTAATATATAAAAATTTGACTTACGTCAAAGTCACAGCAAACATTTAAAATTTATTTTAACTGCTAGGACTAGAGCTAGAAGATAATTCATGACTGTGGAGAATGTTACTGATGATATGTATATATGAGATAGGAATTATATGATTAATTAAAAGTAAATTTTATAATGGTTAACATGCCAACTTAGATGCTTCCTCAAACTTTATTTAACTGTATCCTTAACCTGATACAGTCTTGTTTGGAAAGAGAAATAAAATAGGTTTCTAATTCCACAAAACATCATTAATTAAAGGAAACTAGGTTACACACACACACTCTCTCTCTCTCTCCAGCAAAAATCAAAATGCGGACAAAGAAGGTAATCCAGAGCCAAAGGCTTGTTACAGAAATATGCCTCTTAAGAATTTTTTTAAAAAACTTTTATTTAAAGATTTATTGAACGGCTATTGGGGCTACCACCTGATAAGTAACTTGGTTAAAAAAAAAAATCCCTGGTACACATTAAAACTAAATATATCCCAATATAACAAAAATTTGAGAAAAGAGCTTTTTATGGATGATACATTAACAAGTAAATAGGAAAAACAATCCAATCTGTAAATCATTCCCCTGTTAGAATTAAAAAATCAATATGGGTACCATTTCTTCCTTTCTTACACTTTACATTGATTACTTCCACACATTAACAACTTCTTGTTCATACTTTGTTTCAGCAGTATTTACCAAAAGCAAAATCAAACTAAAATCAGATGTTTTTGCATCTAATATTGCTACATTTCTCTCAATTTTTGCACTTATACGTTGTACTTCCTATAGCCCCTTATGCGAACATTCAGCCAGGCTTACCATTATAACTTTCCTATATATGGCTATCAGAAGCAATACCTACTACTGAAAAACCCTAATGGTTTCTTTAATGTTAGACTTATCAAACAGAAACCTTTCAGGCACATGGTAAAATACTATATCTTTCAACTATAAAGTACTTCTCAGATACCACTTTTAAAGTCAACCCCTAGCCTATTAAAGTTTCAACATATTTTAATAAAAATGCAAAAAAGGGAAAAACAAAGAGTTGAATTCATCTCCACTGTATCACTGAAGTACTTTAACTACTGTGAAAGAAAACTCTATAAAGTGAACACAAAAATGAAAAACCAGTTCAAATATAAAGGCAATAAACACGGCCAAAATAAAGTAAAACTATTCTTCCACCTTTTCCAAGAAGAGAGTAGGAGTTCAATACATCAATTAGCTGTGCACATTACTGATACTCAAAAAGTAATTTAAAAAATTGTTTATTAATATGACTATGTTTACAAACAAGTCTCTATGTACAGTAAACATACATAAAGCTCTAATAAACAATAGTGCAATGCTTCAGAAAGTCTTAAGCACTAGTATCATATCATATTCTTAAAATTCTGAAGTCTTTTAGTAGCTTGCCAAATGATTTAGAAAGGATGCAGAATATATCAAATACTCACTTGCAGTGTTCCATGTCACTCCCTACTGCCAAAAAAAAACCCCAAAAAAACAAACCAACAAAAACTAAACAAAAAACCCTAACCACACAATGGCCACTATTTAAAAGAAAGTTCATGATCACTAAGTAGATATTTATATTTTAAAATACAGTTCTTGGAATACATTGCTAATTTCCTTCGGATTAGAGTCAAGTTGTGATTTGTACAATATTCTAAATGGGATTACTCTTCTCAGATTCATATGACACTTCAAACCACTAAAGAGGATGTTTTGCTCAAAAAAGCCACAAATTTACATCTTCCATGGAAAAAAGTTTTAGACTCATCTTTCTTATGGCCATATCATTGCTAACATTTAAATAAAAAAATAAAGTCACTTTGATCATAAGGTATTATCAAGAGAGTTTTTCTTCCAATGATTGGGACCAAAGAGTCTTAATATTGGTCAGTGGTTAGCCATATTTAAACCAAATATTTTTAACAAGACATCAATGAACTTAACTGTATCCTTAACCAACACTTTACTGTTATACTAAGTGTTTGAGGGAGAGAAATAAAATAGATTTCAAACTTCCACAAAATACTGCTATGTTAAAATAAAGGAAACTAGGTTATAATCACTGAGAATAAAGCCTTCACTACTTGCAAAATTCTATGAACATGTTAGAACTTTGCCTTATAAAAACATTTTTTTAGATTTGATGAGGATTGGGAAGGGAGCAGTTGGGAAGGTGAAAAAAAAGTATCTACTTTGCCGTTTTATTAACAAAATAAGTTATTTAATTTATGATTCTCCTGCTAACTTCTATTTCAACTCCCTGGAAAAACTCCTAAGGCAATTCTACACAGTCCTTTTTTCAAATGAATCATCAACAGATAAAACATATTCTTTGGTCTTCAAAATAGTTGTCATCATTATAATTGTATAGGACTCCACTGTAGAAGCAATTTAATTACCTAACAAAGAAGATCCACATTTGAAGATTTAGGTAAGATTTCTTTTTCAAAAGATACATGATTTTGGAAAGGATATACTTAATTATGTAAAAAACAAAAAACAAAACAAAAAGACCTCATGATGTTTCCAGTTTTAATTGGAAAAACAAAAATCTTGAAACACATACATACATTTAGGAGGAAAAGGGGGATGGTTTGTCAATATCGATCAGCAAGTGCTAGTGATTGGTTCTATAATTCAGATTTTTTCTTGTTAAATCTCAAATTTCCAAGTTTATTCTATTTTTTTCCTATATATTTATCCATTTGAACAACATCAATAATAAATGACTAAAACAAGATGGTCTACAAAATTCTCTGCACAGATTCTTGGCTGAAATGTTTGTCTCATTTCTAAAAATGGTACTCCAATGCTTGTTTTACCCATGGTTTTCCATATACTGAAATGCTCTCGCTGTACTCTATTAAACTATGTACCATCTTTTCATCATTATTATTATATTTAGGACATAAATCATTAAAACAAAACTACCACTTCATGTACCAAAACCTATGTTCACATGACAATATAAGCACTGCCCTCCAGAGATGAAAAGATTGTAGTAATTATCATGTTTAAAAGGCATGTTTTTATTACTCTTGTATGTATTCTGGACAAAAATATTGATCAGCTAATTATGCTCTTCCACACATCATGTTCACTGAGTGTACTACCACAGTTTTTAGTGCAACAAAATACCTTTGAAAAGCCACTCTACAGTAATTATGGCAAGGCTCATTAAAATGCAGAGGTAAAGATTCCATTTGTATAGAAACATAGAAAATAATGTCTGAAAAGAAAAGGTGTTTCATCAGGCTGAATTTTTTTGTATACTAAAAATATATATAAACATTTCTTGAATTAGTTTTATAGTCAATTTTGATGTAGTATCATTTAGTGGTGATAAATTTTGAGAGGTATATGTTTAACAAACATTTTACTTGAGATAATAGTCTTAGGTAAACATTTAATACACAATGCCAAGGTAGTTTCCTTTTTTCTTTTTAACTTTTGTACCAAAAAAGTCATTCATTTAATGTTGACATTTCTTCTTACCTGTGTGCCTCAGACCAGTAAAGTACTCTGCATTAAAATTTAAATCTTGAGACAGTAGTACAGCATTGAAAAAAAAACTGTAAAGCAGCTCAGATACACTGAACCCAGATTTTACATTTCTGTTTGTCAAATTAGAATATAAAAAGCTTGAAAATCAAGTTGAAAAGCTTATTATTCCTCGAGAAAAAGTATGAACAATCTGAAAATGATCAACTAGTATGAATGAAACATTGTACATAGTTAAGTCACATTTAGTGGCTGCTAAACATACCACTCCCTCCTGGAAATTACGGAACCATCTACATGTGAAACTAAGTCATCTTCATTTTCATCATACTGTTCATCGCTGACGAACTTCATTCCCATTTTTAGATCTTCATAATAATCCATTGGTCTTTCAAACCTACTGAGATTTTCTACATTGTTCCACTGCGTTTTTTCATGCTCTTCTAAATAGTCTTTCCGTATTAGATTGTTCACTGGATTTTTGTTTTCTTTTTTTACACTGTCTGGGTAAGAATCAAGCTCATCTTGTTGAAGAACATCTATCTGTGATTCTTTTTGCATATCTGATGGTGGAATGTAGTTCTTGGCAAAGTAGTCTCCACGAAACGTCCGTCTTCTCCTATAGCAGAATATTCCAGCCAAAACACTTACAAGTACTACGAAGAGAGTCCCACCCACTACACTAGCAATGATTGTGCCAATTGTGTCATCCTTAATTGTTGCCAAAGTTGACAATGGGAAGGGCAATTTTTTTGGTTCTGTTGCTAGATCCTCGAAGTCAGCAGTTGAGGGATGCCATTGAATGGTGGGCTGAAGGGTGGTAGTAGTAGGAGGATCTAATGGAAACGGTAAAGATAGACAAGACACAGAAAGGCAAAGAATGTCAATGCAGGCTGATTCAGCAGCAAGTTGAAAAGACAGCACAGTTAATGAAAATATATTCATAGTAACAATAGTTTTTCATTCTTAATTTAAGATTAGAAAGTAGTGATACTTCTACATGTAAAAAAAAAATAAATCTGACACTTAGTCAGTTACCAATTATGTAAAGGGAATGAAAAATTATGTATGGCGTAAATCCTAAATTATTCTATTCCAAGTTTAAGTGTGACACTGTATTCTAAGAAATACTTTTTCTTTTAAATTAAAACTATTATTTAAGTGTCCTATATACAGCTGGCTTAAGAATTATCATTACTAAAAAATTAAATCGAATCATTCAAATGTACATTTTCTTAGCCAGTAGCACAAGGAAATAACAGAATAATAAAAGAATGAAAAAATTAAAATATGTTTTCTTGAAATCCATCTTTACCTAATATAGTTTATTTTTGTAAGAGCTGAACTTATCTTTAAAAGAATGAAAAACTATAGATTCTTGTTAAGTGGCCATAGTATAAGCTGTTGACTTAATAATTCTCTCAAAAATATTTTCCTTAAATAAAGAAAACTCTTTAATTTTTAGAAAGGACATATGTAGTATATACCATTATTTAGTGATTTAAAAAATAAAAAGCACATATTTATGTTAGCCAGATGGGCTATTAACAAATGAGACCAATAGACAAAGTAAAAACATGTTATAAACTATATAGTATTATAAAAATGTCATCATCATGTCTATATTCCATGGGTAAGATATGAACATTAAGGAAACTGAGAAATTTCAACCATGTCTGCAAAATTCAATGTCACATTGCTTTAGGATGGAGTCTCAGAAAGAGCAGCTAATATTTTAGAGAGAACATTCTAAGGATACTTAAATATTAGATGCAAATGATCCTGTGTATTGCCATTAGATTACAGAGTAAATAGCCATTAATATTAAAAAGCAGCTAAACATAAATAGTAAAAATTAAAGATTGGTTAATTATCAATTAAGTGGTATTTGTAGGTCATGTTACACAAAATTCTAGAGTTTGAAGAAAGGATGACTTCAAAAATCTTGAATTTCTTCATTGATAAAAAATAAATGACCCAAATGGTAATCTCTTATAATTAATTTTTAAATGAGTGGTACTGACAGAGCTTTTAAAAAGTGATTGTTAGAAAAATACTAAATCTACATGGGGTAAGTTATTCTAAAATTACAAGCTAAAGAAAAATACTTACTGAAACAGGTTTCATCACGGAATGCCATATGTATAGAATGTAGTAAAACTTTAGCAAGTACAGTGTAAAATGTAACAAGTACATTATAAGTAATTTCCTATGAGTTTAAACCAATATAACAGGCAATCCAGTCAAGTACCTTGAAGTGAATTAGTTATCATATTATATGTAAGTAAATGAATCAAAGAAGAGTTTTAATTTGTGAGAACAAATTCACTAGTTGTACAAATTCAATCTTAAAAAAAAAATTGTGAAATTGCAGGATCATTTCTATTATAAAAGTAGTAAAGCCTCATATAATCCAACCTCACAGAACCAGGATATTAAAGAAACAGACTAAAAATTAATCATTTATAAGACAACTCATGTATTTTCTGAGGAGGAGGACTAATGGAAGTTTTACATATTAAATGTCATCTTCACAATGATTCCCAAAGGAAAAAGTATTATAATAAATGGGCATCAGCATGTTTAAACAAAAGCACAAATCACCTAATTAATGATTTAAAATTAACACATTTTGTGCACATAAAATTTTTAAAGTTTTTGATAGCTCTTGATGAAATGGTATTTTTCTCAGAATAGTACATGTACATCAGCTCTCACCAAATATGATACATAACTGTACATTTTAACGAAGTATTCTTAAAAAGAAAAAATCACTGACATTTATTTCTACTTGTAATGTTCTTTATGTGAACACAAATGGACATCTACTGTGTATTTAACTGAGATTTAACAAAATACAACTTTCAGAAAATCTAACAACAAAAAAAGAGTAACCAAAAAAAATCTATTTAAAAATTTTATTTTGTCAGCAGTTCTAGAAATTTTCAAACCTACCAGCCCCTCCTCAACTAGTGTAAAAAAAACAGCATAGGGCTTCCCTGGTGGCGCAGTGGTTAAGAATCCGCCTGCCAATGCAGGGGACACGGGTTTAAGCCCTGGTCCGGGAAGACCCCACATGCCGGGGAGCAACTAAGCCCGCGCGCCACAACTACAGAGCCTGCGCTTTAGAGCCCGCGAGCCACCACTACTGAGCCTGCATGCTGCAACTACTGAAGCCCACGCACCTAGAGCCCGTGCTCCGCAACAGGAGATGCCACTGCAGTGAGAATCCCGCGCACCGCAACGAAGAGTAGCCCCCACTCGCCACAACTAGAGAAAGCCCGAGCACAGCAATGAAGGCCCAACACAGCCAAAAATAAAATTAATTAATTAAAAAAAATAGCATAGCCTCACTATTAATAAGAGGGACTATTGCTAAACGTTATATTTTGTATCTTAAGCAATGGACATATCATGATTCACATGAGACATTTATTCATGCTTTCCAATTCTTGCTCTGCTCCAAGATAATTACAGTGAGAGTCATTCTTTGTGTAAGGAGGCAGGAGGACAATTTTGTAATCACTAACAGCTACTTATTTATCATGATTTACAAATCGTTCCCATAAATAAATAAGCATTCCTTATTTATTCAGTTGTTATTTTTTTATATTCTTTGCTAAATGTGATAAATAAATATATAACAAATGTAATAAACTAGTAGATTCTGAGTTCTCCACACACAACTTAAGTTTCTTTTTCAAATTAACGAGTTCTGCCAAATAGAAAAACGAACAGTCCAGTAAAAACTCTGTAGCTATGAAGTATATTTTAGCCTAATAATTACTGTGTTAAAAAATGAATGAATTGGTTCCCTTTTCTTTTAGACTATATAAATTGTTTAAATAAACAAAATCTATAAATGTTAAAGTTTTTTGTTTTTTTTTTTTTTTTCCGGTACACGGGCCTCTCACTGTTGTGGCCTCTCCCATTGCGGAGCACAGGCTCCGGACGCACAGGCTCCGCGGCCATGGCTCACGGGCCCAGCCGCTCCGCGGCATGTGGGATCCTCCCGGACCGGGGCATGAACCCATATCCCCTGCATCGGCAGGCGGACTCTCAACCACTGCACCACCAGGGAAGCCCTATAAATGTTAAAGTTGAAGGATTGCTAAATTAAGTGCGTCTCATTATGTCTGGATTGAAATTCATTCAAATTATATGATTTGAAATTCAAGATTTGCATAGGAATATACTTTGATTTTTAGGCATGAGGAACTTAAGTGATATAAGAAAATTTGCTTCTCTAGTCTCAGAGATGTAAGAGGTATCAGGGAAAAAACACACACACCAAAAGCAACTAGAAAAACACAATTTCAAGCAGTCGGTTAGTCCTGGACAAAGAGCCACTGTACCACCATGAGTAATAACTGAAGTTGAATATTGCAATCTTGAATACTGTACCTCTTGCACAATAACTTATGCCAATGTGGGAAAACGTGTAACAAAATTTCAAATAACTCAGAGTTGCTAATTCTATTCTGTTGTGGGTAGAACTTTTTAGCCTCCAGTCATAGCATACCTTCCTTTTACAAATATTTTAAAATATCACCTATGAAATTTTAAAATATAAATTTTATTATTGAGATTAAAATGTTTTCCTAGAGGAAAATGGGTACATATAACTCACAATGAAAAAGATTAACTTTCTGATCATGTACTGTATAAGTTATGCCCTGTTATTGTGATAAAAGCCTACTAGTAGGCTTTAATAGTCTGTTGGGGAAAGCAATTTATATCTAGGATACATTATATACACTAAGAAGCTCGTAGAGGACCTAACTAAACTCAGTACAGTATACTGTATTAAAGACTGGACAGAAAATTAAGTCTAATTCTTGATGATTACTTAAAGAAAACCATCTCATATAATGCTATCTTTTTCTGAAGTACTCAGTGGTAATTAACTGTGATTTTTCATATTTACTCAAAGTTTTGTTTCGACTCTTATAAGACTTAGTAGAGGTTGATTTTAAAATGTGTAAAGTTTATCATCAGCGGTATATTAGTACCTCTGTCCAAAAAAAAATTTCACATAAATGCAGACTGAATTTTTTATTCTTTCCTGATTATTTTCTTCTCAAATGTATTCATGCATGCGACAAAAGTTTACTGAACACTTACTATGTGCTAAAGATTGCTGCAGAGGGTGAGAATACAGTATTGATTAAAGCACACAAAACTCCTGCCCTCTTAGGACATATGTTCTAGTGGGGGTAAAAACAGGCAAGCATACAAATAAAATATGTAGTATGTCACATGGTAATATGTACTGCAGAGAAAAAATAAGGCAGAGAAGAATGACAGACAGTAATAAAGGGGGGAGAAGAGAGAGGTTTCAATTTTTTTTTTTTTTTGCGGTACGTGGGCCTCTCACTGCTGTGGCCTCTCCCGTTGCGGAGCACAGGCTCCGGACGCACAGGCTCAGCGGCCATGGCTCACGGGCCCAGCCGCTCTGCGGCATGTGGGATCTTCCCAGACCAGGGCATGAACCCGTGTCCCCTGCATCGGCAGGCGGACTCTCAACCACTGCACCACCAGGGAAGCCTGAGGTTTCAATTTTAAATATGGCTGTGAAGGTGATATTTGAACAAATACCTCTTTCCTAGGAAAGAGGTATGAGGATATCTGAAGAACATTCTAGGCAGTGGAAACAGAAAGTGCAATGACTCTGAGGTAGGAATGTGCCTGTTCTGTTCAGAGAACAGCAAAGTGGCCAGGTGGCTGAAGCCAGGTGTACAAGGTATATAATAAGAGGTGAGCTCAGGGAGATAATCTAGGGCCATAATGTGTACAGAGCTTATAAATCACTGTAAAGATTTGGTTTTCATTGTGGGCAAAATGGGAAGTCCATGGAAGGTTTGGAGGAGAGGACCGACATGATCCAACATGCCCTTTAAAAGGATTATTCTGCCTGCTCATTTGATGACAGATTGAAAAGTAGGAAAATTAAATGGCTGTTCTATAGTGAAGTAAGGGTTGCCTGATGGTTTGTGCCAGAATACTGGCAACAAAAGTGGAGAATTGGTAAGGTTCTGTATATAACATAATGAGAGAGCTCATATCAATTTGTTGATGGATGGGGTGGGGTATGAGGGGAAAATTAAAATCAGGAGTAAGTATCAAGGATTTCATGCCCTGAGCAAATGTAAGGATTGAGCTACCAATAACAGAAAAGGCAAACAAAGACTGCTGGAGAAAGAGATTCGGTGGCAAGAGGCAGAAGAAAGATGAGGAACTCAGTTCTGAATGCATATTATACTTCTACATAGGAGGTTAATGATCACTAATACGCAGTGGGACGCACAAGTCACGAGTACTGGGAAATGGACCCAGAATACCAAAGATATAAATTTAACATATCACCAATAGATAAGACGCCAAAATTGAGGCTTGATATTTAAATGATTACATAATTAGAACACATTGAGCCTAGGATTTACAAGTAATATCCCACACCAAATTTTGTACAACAGAAATAAAAAGTAATCGGTCCTTAGGTAACCACATTTTAAATATGGATTTCCTGTGGCTTTAAGATTCCTTTTCTTTTTTTTTAAATAAAAAAACCTCTAAGGGAAGAAAGAGAGACTAATATACTAATAGATTTACACCAAAGCACTGCTGTTGGCAGAAAGGACTAGCTAGAGATGTACAAAGCTCTAATCTTCTTGTGAGATACATGCCAAAAAAAATTGTGTATCATGTGCCAGGCACTAAGTGCTGAGTATACAGTAATAAAAAAAAACAAACACACAAATTGTTTAAATATGAGGATAGATAATAGGTAAATAAATAATCATACAACTACAAACTGTGGTAAATATCATGAGAAAATAATATGGGAAACTGTTCTTAGATTAAGTGATCACAGAAGGACTAAGAATGTAACATTAATGCAAGCTTAAAATTTCTCTAAAATCATGGAAAAGAATCTGAAAAAGAATATATATCTATACATATATAAAACTGAATCACTTTGTTGTAGACATGAAACATTATAAATCAACTACACTTCGATTTAAGAAAATTTAGTTTTAGACTGAACACAGAAAAAAATCTTAACTACCTATTATCTAATTACCATACAAACCTCCATTTCTCAAGATTCTCTTCCTTTTTCCTCTAACTTTCCATTTGTTAGACACAAAGATTGCTACATTCTTATAGTCAGGAGGGAGACGTTTAAAATATTTATATAATTTTTATAAATAAGCATTCCATTGATAATTTATTATTTATAGCTACACCCAGGAAAAATATATTTTTGGCTCCAACTATGTTTTGTAAATACCCAAATATATACTCAGTCAAATTGATAAAAACATTCACAGTGAAACAAATGGAATGCATAAATTCTAAGTTCTTAGTGGCTTATGGACTGACCATAAAGCACATCTTAAATTTTATTTCATTGGAACATTTTCAGTAGCGTTCCTACTTCACCTCTCAGTAACTCTATATGGTATAGCCTCATATTGAGTGACAATGATATTTAATAAGAGGTTCATCAAAATTGATATCCCATTTTATTTATTAGACACATGTGCAGAGTAGCTTACCAAAAACAAACAAAAAAATCCAACATTTATTCTTGGTGTAAATACGGAAGAACCTAGAAGGGTACACACTACCAATAAAAAGAATATCTAATACTATTTAACTGAAAAATTAGCTATATGCATAAGGTCTTAAAATGTATATGAACTTATTGCAGAGACGTTTTGACATTTTTTAAGTAATGGAATGCCACTTTACCTATGTATTTCAGGTAGATTATTTGGAAAACCTCACACTGAGGAATATGTATCTTCACAAGTATAAATTACTGCCTAGATCATAGCGTTATTGTTATGATTGTTGTTACAGAAATAATTTAAATAACTCATTTTGTGAGTAAACAGTAACTTACCTGAAATATAGATGACCTTTTGATCACTTCTTTGACCAAGGGAATTGGTCACTTTACAGACATAAACACCAGAATAATTGAAAGTCAGTGGATGGACAAAATGAAGAGTATTGTCTGAAGCCAATAAACCATCAGGCCACTGTCCATCCAACCTATATTTTAAAAGGCACAAAATTACTTTAAATATCTTCAGATTCTATTCATTGACAGCTATTTAAATAAGATATTATACTTCCTAGTTGTCAGTGAAAGAATCAGTATCCTTTAGGTAAAAGTCACTATGAAATAAAAGCATATGTTATGAATTTTCATTTTAATAGAGATGAATTAATTGATAAAGTCCATTAAGAATACCCATTCTTTCAAAATATCAATTCATATCAATTAATATAAGTGAAGCTAGGCTAACATTAGAGGGAATAGGAGGGAAGGAGAGAAAAAAATATGTGATTTTTAAAGAATTACATTTGGAAAACTGGAAAATTAGAAATATACATTATTTGAAGACATACCCATAGTATCCAAAGAATTAAAATAATTCTCAGTGAATTATGAATCTATACATGATACATCTACAACTTGCTTAATGAAAAGTCATCATTTTAGTATATGATAATGTTTTAGCACCTTCTGTAACATATTTAAAGAGCAACATTTAATACGGAACAAATAAATCTATACTGTGCCCTATCCAAAGATGGTTAATTTCTAAAGCACCAACAAGGGTCTTCTTATACAATAATTTCACTCATAAGGTGAACAACAAAATCTGTGACAACAAAAACCGATGCACCTTTGGTATCAATAATAACTCTTTTTAAATGGTTTCTCTACTAATTGGGTTAAAAGGTCCTATCTGGTGTACACATTATTATAAACCATAATAGGAATAAAATCCCACTACAAGAACTCTAAAACCATTCATTGCAATGGAACTAAGTATACTGTTATACCTCATTTTTCCAACCTTAGGGTATACCCCATGGGGGGGAAAAAACCAATAGGTCTTTATTTTGAAAGTGTTTTTACAGCCCATAAATTATTTTTTAAGATAAGAGGATAAAAAGTGAAGTAAACCCAGGCACTCAACTACTACTACAGTTTGAGCTAAGCAGATTTTCAAAAAGTGCATTCACTCGTTCACTCAGCCATCCATTATTTAATTACTAAGAACTTACTATTTACCATACTCTGCTCTGCTGGTGTTGCTGAAATGCACAGGTAAATAAGATTAGGTCCTTGCTTTCAATGATCTAAGCACATTAGTAGGAGACCAACAACTAATTACACAGGTAATAAGAACACAGAACAATGAAAAGGTAGAAAGAAGCAAATCAACACTGGAGAACAGATGGAAGGATTTTGGTCTGTGATCTCAAGTGCATAAAAGAACAATCAGTAAAATCTTTTACAGTTGCTATGACGTTAATTTGCATTGAAGGATAAAGGTAATATTCTTACATGGTTTAAAGAACAAAAACAAAAACCCCATATCTTCTTCTTAAGAGGACTTTGGAAAGAACATTTTTACAAGCATCAGCTTTCAAAAGGTAAACCCTTTTTCTAGGAGTATAAGAATGAATATGAAGTCTATGTATCTTATCAGTTAGCTCTGTACTTTGGGCCCAAAATTCTAACCCCTTTAATTCTGAGAAATGTAAAAATGGCTTATAATCCTTTAAAGTTGTTTATTCAAATAAGCTAGAAAAATCTAAATATCATATTAAACTCACAACAAATGACACGCTAAGCACCTTCCATGCTCCTGTACCTATGTTACATGATTTATATTCACTGTCTCTACCCTCACAAAAACTCTATGGGGTACCATTATCAATGAGGAAACAAAGGATTAGAAAGGTTAAATAACTTATTTAAAAAAGACATCTCCGGGCTTCCCTGATGGCGCAGTGGTTGAGAGTCTGCCTGCCGATGCAGAGGATACGGGTTCGTGCCCCGGTCCGGGAAGATCCCACAGGCCGCAGAGCGGCTGGGCCCGTGAGCCATGGCCGCTGAGCCTGCGCGTCCGGAGCCTGTGCTCCGCAATGGGAGAGGCCACAACAGTGAGAGGCCCGCGTACCGCAAAAAAAAAAAAGACGTCTCCCAGTACAGACACCAGGATAAGAACTCAGAATTGTATGACTTTTAGAAATACCCTATCACACATCTTAACCAATGCCTTCTTCCCACATTGAAGAAAATGTAAATGGAAGGTCTTCTCTACTTTTAAAACTTTATCTTTGCTAAAAGACAATAGATTGACCAAATATACTCTTTCCTTGCACCCACAAAATACCACCTAAAGTAAGATTAAAGGAATGAAAAAACTATTAAAAACCAACGCGGAGAAAGAGAACAGGAGGTAGAATTCATCAGATGTTTCAATAAACTTTTAGAAGACAGAAAACAGATGGGGAAAACAATATATGCTTTAGGCCAATGTTTCCCAATCAGGAGTAATTCTGTCTCCAGGGGACATACCTGGTATGTCTTGAGACAGTTTTGGTTGTCACAACTTGGGGTGGGGGGAGTATGTGCCGCTGGCTGTAGAGAATAGAGGCCAGGGATGCCACTAAACATCCCACAATTCACAAGACTGCCTCCAACAACAAAGATTTATCCAGCCCAAAATGTCAACAGTGCCAAGACTGAAAACCTCTGCTTTTAGCTGAAGAAGTGCTTGCAGGAGGCATATGAATGAGGAAGCAGCTAGTGTGGTCCACTGAACCCAAGATCTGGAGTTTGACTCACTACTGCAGAAGGCCAGAGTGAGGCAGAGGGCTAAAAATAAGATCAGTTGAAAGTTGAAAAAACAAAAAAACAGACTCCTCTCAACTCTGTACAGATACCAGGCATTTATGTTTTAGGCAAAATAATGAAGGTTAATTCAATAAATAAACTGAATGGCCATGAAAAAAATAATTCTACTCTTCAGTAACTGATATCTGAAGCTCCCCCAGTGAAATAAACTCCTCTCTAGTTGATCACTCGAAGTGGAATCTACCCAGTAGATTTAAGTAACTTTTAAAATAAAATGCTGAAGAGTTTCCACTCAGCATTTTATTTTAATGCATCACTGTGAAATGACTGGACAACTGAGAAAATTAAGAAATATCTACAAAATGAAAGACCAAAAAAACAAAAAAAAGAACCTGGAGGAAAAAAGAAACAATATGTAAGAAGCAGAAAAAACTCTTCAGAGGAAATAATTCTAGTATCTCTAGGAAGAAACCAGAAGATACTACATCCATAAAATACGAAAAGGATGCTATGAAAATGAACAGAGAATAAGAAAACACTCTTAGAAACTGAAAATATGTCAAAAGAAAATTTTCAATCAGTGGAGCAGAGGGATCGAGGAAATCTTGGGAGAATAACAAAAACTGAAAACTAATAAGAAAGAATGTTTAGTATACAATAAATAGGAATTCCAGTACAAGCAAACAAAAAAAAAAAAAAAGCAGGGTTAATGACCAAGGGGAAAAAAAAAAGAAGAAAAGAAAAAGAAAGAAGAGAAGAGAAGAGAATCCACAGTTGACAGATACAATTCTCTAGACTGAGAAGGTGTGAGGCATGGGGGGAGGGGTGCAAACACTGAGAAATACGAAAGCAAACCTCAGTATAGCAGTTTGAAATTCCACAGATAAAGAGAATTAAGGATATTCAGATAGTAAACTACACAAGTAAAGAGAAGCAATTATTAGCCTCAGGAAAAACAAACAGCTTTAGAAACAAAAGAAAACAAAATTCCAGTATACTACTTAACTCTCAGTAAATAATATTTACCTGTCATAGGAAGGCAACGATTACACAGTTTATTTCAAAGTAGCTTAATTTCATTGGGACGATGAAGGTCAGGAATATGTATATGAGTATGTTTATGTGTGAAGGGGTAGATATAAAATTAAATTTTCATTTTCATAATAAGAAGTCAATAGACAGTGTTAAAGATTAGTAAATTAAGAAGCAGCAGTTTAAGACCAATGATGATAAACACCAGAAGGAATTGCTAACATCGCCAAAGTAGCCTCCGAGGAACAGAATCGTGGGGGCTGGAAGGTGGGGAGAGGTGGGGCAGAAAAACACTTAGAAACCCTTAATTTAATTTCCAGCTCTTAGTGTAATCATATATTACACTGATAAAAACTTCCAATATGCATTTAAGAATACTTTTGACTTTTAAATAATTTCTCTTTAGAAGTATCTAACATTATTACCTGCTCCACACAGATTTGAAGGGTGGTGGATTTGCATCAGCATTACACTTGAGATTAACACCTTTTCTTCCTACAAACCAGTTTCCATCATAGCCTGTTACTGAAACCTCAGGAGCGTCTATAAAATAAATGCATTATACAACAGATTATCTTTTGTGAATGATAAATGCAATACACAACGATAAAGCATTAACATAATACACAACTTTAGAAGTGGTGTATTTTCCTTCTCTCATATACATAAGAAATAAGGAATACAGTACTCAGTAAATACTGGTTGACTAAAAGAATGATTGAATGAATGGACAATGAGCACCAAACACTAGGCAGCTATAAGCATGTACAATTCTAGTTATTATGGACACAGTGTAAGAATATTCACAAACCTATAATCACCAAAAGCAAAATGTAAGAGCCCTGTTATGAAATACGCAGAGGTATATGAACAAAGAAAATATAGTTGGTAATTTGATGAGACATGGCATTTAAGTACCAAGTCACTACATAAAACTGCCTTTAAAGAAATGTTTAATTCAAAAGGAAATATCCCCTAAGAGATACCAATTACAAAAAATAAAATAAAATAAGATTCCTTATATTACAATTAATTAATATCCTTTGGGCATGTAAAGATGTGACAAACTTTCTAAGACTATAATCACAACTAAAGTAAATTATCTGAGGCCTCAACTGTTCTAAAACATTAAATTTTTATTCATGGCCTAAAAGTACACAAAGGTCTTTTAGCATATGTGCAATATAATTAGCTAAATGAGCAATTATCCACATCTACCATCAATATAAATTTATACCTTCAAACTGTAAAATCCAATACTAATCATTCATTCAACCACCATTGTTCAGCTCCTATTAAGTGACAGGCACTGTTTTAGATGTTTAGTATACATGTAGACTCTGTATTCACAAAATTTACATTCTAATGGTTACAGGAAAGATGACATTTTAAAAACTTTAAAATCCGTTATGAGGGCCAAGAAGGAAAAGAATACGATACTAAGAGAAAAGATAAAGAAATGCTATTTATGTATGGTACAGGGACGTTCCACCCTTCTGTGAGCTATACAAGTAAACTAGATAAAGAGTACGTGGCCAGATGGGAAGTTAGAGAGAGACCAGGTCAGTCTTTAACTCTGCAGGGAAGCCTGAAGTCAATCAAGCAAGGTTTACAAAAAAAAGTAGTAAAAAAATTAAACTTTTTATACTAAGGTACAATTACCTTAATAATTTAAAAAAATGTCTGCCTCTTATAAATACAAAGAATTAACAAACATTTTTTCTAACTTAAAATTGGTAATAAAAAATGTTACTGAAAGAACAGTACAGATGTATGTGAGTTTAAGTTATTTTCAAAGGAGGAGAAAATAGGTAGTAAAGTATCCCCAAAGAATACCTCCAAATTTTGAGATATGAATTCTGGATATAAGATTTTATCTCCTTAAGCTTTGTTTACATGTTTCAGAGGGCCCAATTAACAGGAGAAAAGAATACTCTGAGAACATTTTAGGAGTAGGCCACTAAATCTAAACCATAATTATAAAGTTTTACATCAGGAGAAATATTTTTACACATTTAGAATTTCATTCAGGCAAACAAAAAAATAATAGTATAAATACTGAAGAAAATTTCAGTCATTATTAGACACAGGGAAGAAAAAAATATATATGAGAAAAATATTAATGGTACTTAAAACCAGGATGTAAATTTTAAAAGAAAAAGTTAAAAGTATGTAAAAGCAAGAAAGAAAAAGAAGAAAAATTTTATTTGGATTCTCCAAATAAGTGAGGCGAAAAGAAGGTACAGTCAGCCCTCTGTATCCATGAATTCAGCATCTGTGGATTCAACCAACTGTGGTTGAAAAATATTCAGGAAAAAAGAAATTCTACAAAGTTCAAAAAAGCAAAACTTGAATTTGCTGCACACCAGCAACTATTTCCATAGTATTTTCATTGAATTTATAGCTATTTACATAACATTTACATTGTATTAGGTATTATAAGTAATCTAGAGATTATTTAAAGTACATGGGAGGATGTGTGTAGATTACATACAAATATTGATACTATGCCATTTTATATAAAGGATTTGAGCATCCTCGGATTTTGGTAACTGAAGGAGTCCTGGAACCAATCCCTCATGGATACCGAGGGACTACTACTAGGACTGTATTTGCACTCAAGAATACAATGGTAATAACATCCATGTAACACAGCTTCTCAAGTTTAACCCTGTAAATGTTTAAAAAGATCCTTAGAATTAGTTTTAAAAACCATTAATTATACCAAGTGTAATGAATATGTGTAAAATTCCATGAATGTCATATCAAAAAAACAAAACAATAACAACAAAAAACAGAACATTTCCTTCAAAAACCTACCTAGATTTATGATCTGTGCATGGATGGAAATGACCCCAGAACCTAAACACTTCTCCTAATTTTATCTTTAACCTACTTAATTTTCATTATCTTTGCTATATGCTATCTACACCATCACTTTTTCTCTTGCTCAAAATTTTAAAATGCTACACAAACAATGTATCAAAAATGAGAAACTTTATAGAAGAGGGGAAAGTATATACACACATGTACATATCCACACAAACATACACACAAGAGAGTATCCCTTAACCAAAAAATTAAAAGCACAAGGTGGGCCAGGTTTGAACCTTATCTAAGATTATTATTATCCCAACGATGACTCTGTTTTACCTTTATGAGGATCTTACAACATGATCAATAAAATCAGACTAGAAATAATACTGAAAAAACACAAATTTTCAAACTAATTAAAATGCATCTAGGAAGTAAAAGATCCTTGCTGAAAACATCATGGGTAGAATCAATAAAAATGAGTAACAGCTAAATTAATTGGATTGGAGAAGGAGCTGTTTTTCGCCAAGTATTGCACATTCTGAGGTATAAATTTCCACAATTCACCCAATCTAGCTTATTTTTAAGGTCTAAAAAGGACAAGGCTAAATAATTTTAAGTTGGACAGCAACTTTAAAATCATTGTCTGTCTTTACAAACATAAATATGTTCTGGTTAAATGGAATTGCCATGAAAATATTCTTTTTTAATTAAGAAAAAATGTCAACAAGGAAAATCTATAACAATATCTGAATATTAAATATTCATACTAAAGACAGCTTGATACAGAATTATGTTAAAGGGAGAAAATAAAATGCATGATGTTTAAAAGGTAAATGTTATTCTTTACTTACACTGTATGTCTAATATGAAAGAATATCGGATGTCCTTTTCCAAGGCTGGATGTTTTACAACACAAGTAATCCGCCTTCCTCTAGCAAATCTGGTAGGAAAAAGCTTGTATTGGCTGACAATTGTTGCTGTTTCATTTGGAAAAGAAGTCGTAGTGGATTCCATTTCACCAAGATCACCTTCCCAATCAATATGTGCAACTGGTTTTCCAGTGGCTGCGATACAAATGGCTGCTACTGTTTCATTTCCTCCATCAATTAAAGAATCTGGCCCTTTTATCAGGCTCACAGTGGGTTCAACTGTTTAAATTTAAAAAAATTAGTTACATTTCAATCAAAAGCGTATTTACTCCTTCCAAGCCACAACTAGCCATATTTCATAAACTTAGAGACAACTGCATATAAAATACACACACATTAAATGCCAACACCAGTTGGATTCTTGGAACGAGAAGATCATGAACCAGACCAAACAAAAAGCAAGACTTTACATAACCATCACAAAGATGGCTCTCCCTGGTAAAGATACACTTTTCTTTACAGGGACAAGTTTTTGAGTTTTCCCCAAAATTAGTATATAAAAAAAATTCCTGCAAATTTGATCATAATTTCCATTAGGAGATTAAAGGTACTACTACTCTGAAAGGAGATTAAAGGTACTATTACTATTACACTACTAAGCCTGTGGCACATGGGCTTAGATGCTCTGTGGCACATGGTATCTTCCTGGACCAGGGCTCGAACCCGTGTCCCCCGAATTGGCAGGTGTATTCTTAACCACTACGCCACCAGGGAAAAGAAAAAGCGGTTTTAATGTATAATGCTTCAATTTGCAGCAAAAATGTTTACAACACATTTAATATAGGTACTGTTAAAATGTAATGTCACTAACAGTTTATTGAAGTGTACATGCTACCTACCTTTATCTGGTATAAGAAAGTTCCTCAGCAGAGGAAGTAACCTTAATATTAGACCCCTTTAATCTACCCTCCATATGTATGCTAGCTACCTCTTCACATTTTCCAGCAAATTTTATATGCTCCTTTCTGTGTAAATTCCTGAGTACTCACCGTCATGAATTCTTTGGCTCAAGCCTATAGGTTACTGTGTGCATTAACTTTTTAATCTAAAAGACATTTTTTCATTTCCAAAATTTCTAATTGGTTCATTTTTTTAATATTTTTTGTCTCAACTTTCTGCTCCTGAGATTTATTTATGTGGGATCATTTCACCTTAGATTATTATTTTGCAATGCTTCTTTTTTTTAGTTTTTACTTTTAGATCATTTAGATTTGCATGCAATTGTATAAATTATTAGTTTTAACTACTGTATGGTTCATTTACTGTTGGACATTGGTGCTATTTCCTGTTTGGTACAAACAATTTTATAAGAAACATTTTCATTCATGTATCTTGGTATATTTGTATAAAAGTTCCTGTAGTTTATCCCTTGGTACTATGTTTATTTCCATTATTTACCAGATAATGCCAAAAAGCTTTCCAAAGTACCAATTTACTCCCAATCTTAGCACTCTGGTTGGTCCAACATACCCACTACAGTTGATAACCAGACTTCTCAATGTTTGCCAACCTCGTAAGTATGTAACAGCATATCATTGAAACTTTGTTTCTAATTTCTCAGATTATGAATGATGTTAAAGATCTTTTCTTGTTTATGAGCCATTTGGAATTTCTTCTTCTGCAAAATACCTATTAAAGCCAATTGTTTTTTTCTTACTGATTTGGGAGAGTCCTTTTCTGATTATATGTGAAAATATCTTCCACCAATTTAGGGCTTGTCTCTTTATCCTATGGTGTGTTTTGATGAGCAGAAGTTTTTAATTCAAATGCATAAAATTTATCAGTTAACTGCTTTTATATACAGGCACACCTCATTTGATTGCACTTTGCTGTATTGTGCTTCATAAATATTGCATTGTTCACAAATAAAAAGTTTGGGGCAACCCTGCATTGATCAAGTTTATCAGCACCATTTTTCCAACAGCATTTGCTCACTTCCTGTCTCTGTCACATTTTGGTAATTCTCACAATATTTCAACCTTTTTCTTTATTATTATATGTGTTATGAGGATCTCTGATCTTCGATGTTACTACTGTAAAAAGATTACAACTGGATGAAGACTCAGATGATGGTTAGCACTTTTTAGCAACAAAATGTTTTTTAAATTAAGGTATGTACATTGCTTTTTAAGACATAATACTATTGTATCAAAACTACAATAAAGTATCACCTCACACCAGTCAGAATAGCCATCATTAAAATATCTACAAACAATAAATGCTGGAGAGGGTATGGAGAAAAGGGAACCCTCTTGCACTGTTGGTGGGAATATAAATTGATACAGCCACTACGGAGAACAGTAGGAGGTTCCTCAAAGAACTCAAATAGAACTACCATACGACCCAGCAATCCCACTACTGGGCGTATATCCTGAGAAAACCATAATTCAAAAAGAGTCGGTACCAGAATGTTCACTGCAGCACCATTTACAATAGCAAGGACATGGAAGCAACCTAAGTGTCCAGTGACAGATGAATGGATAAAGAAGATGTGGCACATATATACAATGGAATATTACTCAGCCATAAAAAGAAACAAAATTGAGCTATTTGTAGTGAGGTGAATGGACCTAGAGTCTGTCATACAGACTGAAGTAACAGAAAGAGAAAAACAAATACCGTATGCTAACACATATATATGGAATCTAAAAAAAAAGTGGTTCTGAAGAACCTAGGGGCAGGACAGGAATAAAGATGCAGATGTAAAGAATGGACCTGAGGACATGGGGAGGGGGAAGAAGGGTAAGCTGGGATGAAGTGAGAGAGTGGCATGGACATACACTACCAAATGTCAAATAGATAGCTAGTGGGAAGCAGCCGCATAGCACAGGGAAATCAGCTCTGTGCTTTGTGACCACCTAGAGGGGTGGGATAGGGAGGGTGGGAGGGAGACACAAGAGGGAGGGAATATGGGAATGTGTGTATACACATAGCTAATTCACTTTGTTATACAGCAGAAACACATCATTGTAAAGCAATTATACTCCAATAAAGATGTAAAAAAAAAAAGAAGACGTAATACTACTGCACACTTAACAGACTATAGTATAGTATAAACATAATTTTTTTTTTTTTTTTTTGCAGTACGCGGGCCTCTCACTGCCGCAGCCTCTCCCATTGCGGAGCACAGGCTCCGGACGCGCAGGCTCAGCGGCCATGGCTCACGGGCCCAGCTGCTCCGCGGCACGTGGGATCCTCCCGGACCGGGGCACGAACCCGCGCCCCCTGCATCAGCAGGCAGACTCTCAACCACTGCACCACCAGGGAAGCCCTAAACATAATTTTTATAACACTGGGAAACCAAAAATTCATGTGACTGGTTTACTGTGATATTCACTTTATTGCAATACTAGCTTTATTACAGTGGTCTAGAACTGAACCCACAATGTCTCCAAGGTATGTTTGTACTAAGAGTTAGCTGTCTACTTCGAGGCCAAATTACTATATATATCACATAGTAATTTGGCCTTGAAGTAGACCAAATTTCTTGTTCTCTACAGAAATTTAAGAGATTGACTTATCCCTTCAAATGGTAAGCACTGTTGTTTAACAGTCTGTGTCCGATAATTCCAACATCTCATGCAGGTCTGTTTCTGTTGTCTTGTTTGCGCTGGCTGCTGCTTGTGGAGTCTTCTTTACTTGTATGCCTGGTTATTCAAGCAGATGAATCCTTGAGTTTGAATAATGAAGGTAGAAATAATCTGAGGCTTAGAATGCAGTACCTTTCTTTGTTTTCTTCTGCTAAGCTAGCTCCTGAGAACACTATCCAGTCCAGGATCTCCTTAATTTCAGACTACTCAAGTGATATAAACCAGGCCTAGAAGTCTATAAGAAGACTGGTTTACTACACGTGTACTATTATTCTTAAAACTGTTAAGCATCTGGGTACCAGGAGAATATAAGAAAGGTTATTAGACATCCCATCTTGAGCAGACTTGCATTCAGATATTTGTCTCTCTCACTTCTCAAGGTTCTCGAAATCTTAGTTCATCATCTTAAGTGCCTCTTCTGAATTGTCTAATGTCCCCAAGGTTGAATACAGATTTCAGCTTTCGGTACTAGGTTTATTTCTCTGTTTCCACCTTCTCTTAGATTTGGTCTAGTTATATTCCACACTATGTTGTTATTTCTTTGAAGTTTTCAATGGTTTTTAACATTTCACTTGCCCATCCCCCACCATGGGAGCGTTAATGTGACTAACCTGTGCCATCAATAGAGGCTTTTATCTTCGAGGAACTTAAAAAATTACCTTAAAGTCAATTTTAAATTGTTATTTCTATTTCTTCTGAAGGGAATCAATCTCCTGGTTGTACACTTCAGTTGCTTTCTAAAGTTACTTTTCTCATATTCCCCAACATTTAAGTTAACTTCTCTGCACCCTTCCCTGTCTAGTAGTTTTGTTGTTGCTTCCTCTTAAGATGCTACCCAATGCCCTATATACTCTGATTTGGGGGAACATGAAGTTTTCCCGGCCCTGCATTAATGCCAGGATTGTTAAGCCTACTTCTTTCTGTTGGTTCTTTCATCCACCTCAAAAGTTTCCTCTCACATGCACATAGATCAGTACTAAGCCAAAGACCTCAGAGGGCCATTCTGTAGGTCTCTAAAGCACACACATTCTCTCTTTCTCTCTCATGTTCCCTTCTTTCCAGTATTCTGTTCCACAAATTCTAATCACCTGTCCAATCTGTCTCTTAAACTCAGTGAGACTAGCATTCTCTACCTGAATTCCTTGTCACTGAGTTGTCACTGGAAACTGCCTAAGGAGGAGGCTGAAGCAATTGTAGAACTCATCTTGTTTATTTTCCTTCTTTCAGGGATCATAATCCTACCATGCCTATTAAGTTGCCTAGTTTTTTTGTTGCTAGAGAGAGAAAGGGTCAATCCAGTCCCTGTTACTCCATCACGTGCAGCAGTGGAAATCTTTTTTTTTTTAATTACAAAAGTAATATTACTAAAAATTGGAAAAACAAAGAAAACTTATCCACAACTGTAATATCTTAATACAGTCATTATCATATTCTTCCATTTCCTTCTCTTATTTGTTTCTAGTTTCTATATAGATGTAATCATGGCATACCTACAGTTTTGTGGCTCATTTTATTTTCAAGCAGCAATACTTCTCTTAACTATAATTTTAACAACTATATAATATCCCATATATCAAAAGGAAGTAACCAATTGTACAACTCTTCTGCTATGGGGCATCTGTTGTTTAGTGTTCCCAAAGCTTTTTGCTATATTACATTTCCTTAATTCACTTTCTATTACTACTACTCCTTTGAAACTCTAATGTCACTGCCTAATCTATACACTCAATACTTTTCTTTGCCTGTTCTCTTTGACTGATTTGGTAAAATTTGATACTTAGTGCAGTTCTTCCCAATCAGTTCCAAAAGAATTAAGTTCTAATGCCTTCAGGTATCTGCTGTAAGTAATGAATTAACTTCTGGGCTATGCATTTAGAATGATAGTAGCTATGTGCCAGCCTTCGGAGAACTGATAAAATGGTCACTGAAATCACTTTCTGTATGGCTTGATTCTCACTGTGGGAAAAAGCTGCTAGAGTAATCTTAAAAACTTTTTTCTTCTCTTGATATGAATAATATTACTTTGACAGTTTTTCTCAAAGCTATCTATTTGAACACCTCATCTCTATTTCTTCCAATCTCTGCCCTAATAAATACTGAGTCTTAGGCCTTCAGTTACTTTTTATAAGTTTCTTAAAAACTTTTATCTGATAAACACTACTACCTGGATGATCCCTGATTTTATTTGCTTTTGATACAAAGCTTGACTCTATAGTTTCTAACCACCTACCTGGAATTGTTTGCCTATGTATCCTCCAACTCAATAAGCCAAATGTTGAGTTCATCGTCTCATCCTCCCAATCCCCAACATGTTTTTCATTCAGATATGCCCATTTAAATTAATGGTAATATAATTTACTCAATCACTAAGGTTCAAAACCTGTTACTGTTCAAACCTCCCTAGTTTATTATATATAGTCAGTTACAACGTTCTGCTAATTTTTCCTTTGTAGTAGTTCCCTTCCTCACTCAAGTGAAAGAAATTAGAAAATTAACTTCAAGCTTTCATGGCCTCATGGCTGAGGCATTATGATTTCAGGACTCTTCATTTCAATCCATCAAAAACACCAGACTCATCATCTTAAATCACAACTTTCATCACATTACTTCTAAATCAGGTCTACGAGTTAGGTATCCCTCTAAGCAAGGTGAGAAGATGGTCAAAGCAGTGTTTCTCAAACTCTACTGTGCATAAAAAGTACTTGCGGATCTTGCTAAAATGTAGATTTATCATTCAACAAGTCTGGGAGGGGTCTGTAATTCTGTATGTCTAACATGCTCCCAAGTGATGCCACTGCTGCTGGTTCATGAACCATGCTTTAAACAGCGAGAATCTGGGACTTCCCTGGTTGTCCAGTGGTTAGGGCTACATGCTTCCACTGCAGGGGGCACAGGTTTGATCCTTGCTCAGGGAACTAAGATCCTGTATGCCGTGCAGTGTGGCCAAAAATAAATAAATAAATAAATAATAAACAGTAAGAATCTGAGAATAAAAGAAGAGAGGTGAGAAGTACAATGCTGTACACTAAGTTTGCATTTCCAGCAATATAAAGCTCAAATTCCCCATCTTAATATTTAGATTACTTTAAAGTGGTCCTGCTCTACCTTTCTAGCCTTTAATTCTTGTATTTTATATAAATCCTTTGGACAATCAACAAATTACTCAGTGGTCCCGCAGAGGACACTTGGCAATGTTGAGAGACATTCTAACTTGTTGAAACTTAAGGAACTGCTACTAGCATCTAGTGGGTAGAGGTCATGGATACTGCTGAACAGTCTACAATGCACAGGACAGCTCATCACAAGAATTCCAGCCCAAAAGTTCAACAATGCCAATTCTGAAGAAACTCTGCCCTAATATATGCTGTTTTCTGCCTCCCTGCGTTGGCTCATTCTCCTCCCTATACTTCTTTCCTTTTTGCCTACCTAAAACCTATCCACCATTCAAGGACTGGCTCAACTACTTTTCTACATAACATTTCTAAACTACAGAGTTTATTTATCCATTCCTATACCCTACTTAAATAACATTTAGTGTATTACTGCTACATACCAGAAACTCTTACAGGCTTTAGGGATATAAAGTTAAATTTTAAAGTGCACAGTTGCAGTCCACCATAAATTTATAGTGAAGAAGACATACAATAAGCATTATGTTAATTGCTACAACACAGATAAGCTCAAGATACAAAGGCAAAAGAGCAAAAAACCCCATCAAATTGCAAAGGGGTAGATATTTCAAGAATGGCTTCCAAAAGGATGTGGTTTGGGGCTTCCCTGGTGGCACAGTGGTTAAGAATCCACCTGCCAATGCAGGGGACACGGGTTCAAGCTCTGGCCCAGGAAGATCCCACATGCCACTAAGCAACTAAGCCCGTGCGTCACAACTACTGACCTCCACTCTAGAGCCCGCGTGCCACAACTACTGAGCCTGCATGCCTAGAGCCCATGCTCCACAACAAGAGAAGCCACCGCAATGAGAAGCCCGCGTACCACAACGAAGAGTAGCCCCCGCTCACCACAACTAGAGAAAGCCCGGGTGCAACAACGAAGACCCAAGGCAGCCAAAAATAAATAAAATAAATTTATTTTTAAAAAAAAAAAGGATGTGGTTTGATGAGTAGTAGTTAAATAGAAGAATCTAGAAGAAAGAGACAGAAGGAAAAAGGTGGCAATCCAGGCATAAGAAAACTACACATGTAAAAATATAGGTGTTAATGAAGTGTAAATAGTTAATTATGATTATAAAATTTGGGTTGCTGGGAGAAGTAGAGCAAGGAGTGGAATAGATGAAGTTAGAGAAGAAGACCCAGCTAAAAGCGTGACTAGTCTTATACTACCAACAGTCGAGTTTTAAACCACTGAGTATTGTGTTAATTTAAGGGGAATTACTAAAATTTAAAGCAAAAAGTCTTATTCACGAGTTCTCTCTTCTACATGCGAACTATTTTTCTATTTTTTCTTGACACTGAATTTTTCTGTGACTTTTTTTACCCCAATGGCTTGCACTTGATTTTTCAGATATTTATGCCCTGCCTTCCAATCAAAACAGGTCTCAAAGGTATCAATTTTGTAAACATAAGTTATATTTTTCCCACAGCTCCTAGGGCAGGCTCTTAAACATTAAAGTCTTCAAATATTTAATGTTATTTCTATTTTTAAATAGTATTTCTCAACATGAAAAAATATATAACATATTTGGACAAAATTTCTTTCCTGCACATCAGTGACCCTGAAATCATGCCATTAAATATTAGAGGCTGTGTAGTTATTTGGTTCTCTGGAAGCAGACACTGAGATCAAATGAGGAGTACAAAAGGCTTATTAGGGAACAACATCTGGGAGAAAAGTGAAGAAGGATTGAGTAGGGAAAGCTATCAGCAGACCTTACAAAGTCCCTGACAGGCACACAGGCAGATTCATAGCAAAGACCACCCATTAAAGGAGTTCCACTCTGGGTGGAAATGGCTACAGTTGCTTTTACTCCTTAATCCTCCCTCTAGTATTATAAAAGTACTCACCAGCTATTCCAAATTGGTTTACCTTTCACTGCAGGTGACTATTTTAATGCTAATAAGCTCTTCCTAAATTCTGCTATAAACTTTAATAGTTTTCAGATAGGAAAAGGCAGAAGATCTTTCAATGCAAGCAACAGACCAAGATTCAAATAGCTATGCAAATCCGCAACAGCAGAAATAAAATCTGATTTGAAAAACAAACATGAGATGTCAATGGCTCTAAGACCACAGTCACTTAAAAAATGGAAAAGCTTATTTAAAGATGGTAATTTAAAGGTTGAAAATTTGAGGGGAAATAATGAAAATAAATGTCAAAGAATCTCAGCACTTAGTATTATAAATAAAAAACAATCTTTCATGAAGAAAGTAAAAGAGTTATAAATTACACAGCTTTATATAGATACACAGATAGATAGGGACAAGATTTAGTTTAAACTGAGAGTCTAGAATCATAGAATTTTATGACAGAACTTGAAAAAACATATCTGAATTATTTTATTTTAAACCTACATTTATATATAATTTCAATTATTTTAAGTTCTTGAAAATACTTTTACAATAATCCTCACCACACCACCAAAATATGCAATTTAAGTACACCTACCTAATACAGTTACAGTTGTAGAGGACTGAGCATTTCCAAGTGGGAAGGTAACAGCTTTGCATATATATTGTCCAGAATCAGAGAATCCTATGTTATGTAGAGTAATTGTTGCATCATTAAGTGAATAGTTTTTAAACAAGACTCTTCCCTGATATTCTCCTTGAACAGAGAATCCATATTGAGGATGATGAACTGCAACAGTCTGTGCACTTTTGCCATGTATCTTCTCCCATAAAATTTGTGTTATAGTTTCATTTCCTTCAATTAAACACTTCAGCGAAACATTCTTTCCCCATACTGCTGTGACATGTGGCTCCACAATAACTGGTCCAGCTAAGGCACCTAAGGAAAAACAAAAAAGCGTGGTTCTTAAAAATGAAAAAAAGTTACATTAACATATTATCAAATTCCCTCCCTTCCTGTTTTCCTCTTCCTTCTTCTCCTTGTGTAAGTACACACACACACACACACACACACACACACACACACACACACACACACAGAGACACTAATGACCGAGTAACAGGAAGGACTGAAAAGAGCTAGATGTTCCCAGGGCTGGATTTAAGACCCAAAGAATGATTCTCAGGTGAATCAAATAATCACCAATATGTGTTCCAGTGGAAAAGCACTAGATTGGGCCAAGAGTAAGCTTAAGAGCAGGTCCTTCCCCAGTCAAGCCACCAGGTAAGGTCCCAGCCCTAGCTGACACCCTGACTGCAGCCTTGTGAGAGACTCTGAAACAAAGGACCCAGCTGATCTATGCCTAGATTCCTGACCCAAAGAAACTGAGAGGTGATAAATATATGCTGTTTTAATACTATTAAATTTTAGGGTATTTTGTTACTCAGCAACAGATAATTAACACATTTAGGATCTGTCAAACCAAATATAATACCAAAGTTTCTTCCTTTGGAGAGTTCCTCTACCAAAAATCTGTATAAAAGACTTCATTAAAGATAGACCAATTGCCAGAAAACATGAATTCAAAAAACACATATAAATGTGAAATTAAGTTTTTCTATCTCACAGATGAAAAAAAACTATTCTACAAGCAAAAGTTAAAATAAAATGATACCAAACTTCACTTTTATAATAATGATTTCCTTCCTAAAAGCAATGGATGAAATATAAATCATTTTTAGGAACATAGGACTAATACTCATGAATACTAAACTCAAGCAAGATGATCTTCACTAACAGGTATATTAGAACATATATAACAAATCCTTGGAGAGTTTACAACTTACATACATGTCCTGGCAAAATAAATGCTCAAACTAAAAAGTAAACCAATATAAGCACTTGAATATAGAAACTGTATAAATACCTTTAAAATTTAGAGTTATGTCTAGTTAATATTTTTAAATAAATACAAAAATGCAGAAAAGTATCACTTAAAAAGATAACCAAGAAAAATGTGTTTAAACATATTCAACAGTTCTAAACAACAAAACCTTTACACAATATTATTTCCATGAATAATATTTTTTCCTTCTTGGGAAGAAAAAAAACCATAAATGAGTATATTAGATAGATACATACATGGATACATACATAGCTAGATAGCTAGATAAGAGGGCAAACTTTACCACCCAAGAGATGATTGAGGATATTACAAAAAAGGACTGACAATTCACACTGACCATACTTAACAGCTATGGCAGAAAAAGGCTTTCTTTTAGCCATTCCACCAAAAAAGTATCAAGTCCAAAAAATGTACCATCATTATGTAATTATGCTTTACATAATATGTAATTATGCTTTCAAGCATAATTACAAAGCTTTTAAAATTTAACCTAAAACATATAAAATATGAAAGTATTCTAATGCATTTTAACAAGCTATTGTAAGCCTAGTACTATACCCAAAACTATGCAAATGAAAGGGCAATTTACAAATATTGAAAATTTCATATAATATTATGAAAGAACACACAGCTCTTTATTTAAAGAAAAAGACACAATGACCAAGTAGGATATTCAAGAATGTAAGGATATTTTTAAACTATTCATCACACTGAAAGGTCACGTAACTTTCTCATCTGATGCCAAAAAGACATTTAATAGAATTCAATATTCATTATCTAATTTTTTAATTAATTAATTTAATTTAGACATTTAATAGAATTCAATATTCATTATCTAATTTTTTAATTAATTAATTTAATTTTTGGCTGCGTTGGATCTTTGTTGCTGCACGCAGGCTTTCTCTAGTTGCGGCAAGCAGGGGCTATGCTTTGTTGTGCTGCACAGGCTTCTCATTGTGGTGGCTTCTCTTGTTGTGGAGCACGGGCTCTAGGCACACGGGCTTCAGTAGTTGTGGCACACAGACTCAGTAGTTGTGGCTCACGGGCTCTAGAGTGCAGGCTCAGTAGTTGTGGCGCACGGGCTTAGTTGCTCCACAGCATGTGGGATCTTCCCAGACCAGGACTCGAACTTGTGTCCCCTGCATTGGCAGGTGGATTTTTAACCACTGTGCCACCAGGGAAGCCCTCATTATCTGATTTTTAAAAAATAAGTAACAACTGAGAAAAGGAGTCTTAATAATAAAGTAGATTTTTCTCAAATCAATGGCCATCACAACGCTAAAATTTAAAAGGGGGCATGGTTATTAATGAAAGACCAAGACAAGATGGTGCACTGTCATTATCATCATTCAACTTAAGACTAGAAATTCCCATTCAATGAGACAAGAAAAGGAAAGAAGGAAGAATAAGAATAAGAAAGGAAAAGACAAAATTATTATTTGAAAAACCTATTACTAGAAAAACCTAAGAAGGCCAAGTAAAGTGCTATTAGGACAAATAATGTGGTTGCTTGCAAACCATGCAAACTGTATACAAAATGTATATTCATCATGCCATAACAAGTGATAACCTTTACAAACTTACTGTAGAAAAAGTCAATATTTGCAAAATATTAACATTTAAAACACCCATGAATAATGTTGTAAAGAATCTAGAAACCTGAGAAATTAACTTGAGTAAATGGAAGATATGTTCCTGAGAAGAAAGACGTAATACCTACTACTTAGACAGCAAATCTCTCCATGTTAGCACACAAATTCAATGCAACTTCAGTAAAAACCATGACAAAACTTATTGAAACTAGAATAGGGACACCATGTTTAAAAAAAAAACCCACAATAGCACAGTAAAGGGGAGAAAGAATACTAAAGTAAAAATAATAAAAACCTTAATGTCTTAAAACAATTCAAAGTACACAAACAGATCAACATATAGAATGGCATACAATATGTAATATGTTGTACAAGTGGGGAAATAATGAATTAGTCAAGACATGATGAAAGGACAAGAGCTAATATTTGGAAATAGATCTACCCCTGCTTTACTAAACACACACACGCACACACACAAATCCAGATGGACTGAAGATATAAATGTAAAAAAATGAGGCACATATTCCATATATACTGACAATAATTTTTTATATACTCTGGAAGATAAACATTAGTTACTCTAAGGAGGGACACTACTAAGGATTAAAGAAAGAACTTTTAGTTTTTACTTTGTGTTCTTCTTTGATGTCAGAATCACAGTAAATAATGTTCAAAATAAAAGCAAATAAAAAATACAGAATCATCTTCCTCAGGTGGAAGCAGAAAAGAGAAAAGATAAAAGAAGTATTATGGACTGAATGTTTGTGTTCCTCCAAAATGTATATATTGAATACCTAACTGGTGGTGGGGTCTTTTTGTGGTAATTAGGTTATATGAGGGCAGGGCCCACAGGCTGGCATTAGTGTCCTCATAAGAAAAGGAAGAGAGAGTAAAGCTCTCTCTCCCTCTCTGTGAGGACAAAGCAAGAAGGCGGATGTCTACAAGTCAGGAAAGGGTCCTCAACACCCTCTGCTTGCACCTTGATCTTGGATTTCTCAAACTCACAGAACTATAAAAAATAAATGCCAGATGTTTAAGCCAACCAGTCTATAGTGTTTTGTTATAGCAATCCCACCTTACTAAGACATTAAGTATCAGAATTAACTCGAAGGGACAGTGCTAATGATATCTCCTTACAACCTTAAGAATAACAGCTTATGGGGTAGCAATACTTTTATCAGGCAGAACAGACTTTAAAACAAAATCCAGAGCAAAAGACAAAGGAGGACATCATATAATGATAAAGGGATCAATCCAAGAAGCAGAGGTAACATTTGTAAACATATATGCACCTAATATAGGAGCACCTAATAGGAGCACCTAATAGGAGCACCTAAATATATAAAGCAAATAATAATAGACACAAAGGAAAAAACTGACAAAATATGGTAACAGTATGGGATTATAATACCCTACTTACATCAATGAATAGATCATCCAGACAGAAAACCAATAAGGAAACAGTGGTCTTAAATGACATATTAGACCAGATGGACTTAATAGATATCTACAGAATACATATCTCATCCCAATACAGAATACACATTCTTTTCAAGTGCACATGGAACTTTCTCCAGGAAAAAACACATGCTAGGCCACAAAAAGGTCTCAGTAAATTTAACAGATTGAAATTATATCAAGCATCCTTTCTGACCACAATGGTATGAAACTAGAAATTAATTACAAAAAGAAAAATGGAAAAAATACAAACACGTGGAGCCTGAACATGCTACCAGAAACAAATCACAAAAAAGAACACCACAATGTGTCCATGAACAAATCAAAGAGGAAATCAAAAAATATCTTGAGACAAGTGAAAACAGAAACAAAACTTTCCAAAATCTATGGGACACAGTAAAAGCAGTTCCAAGAGAAGATACAAGCCAACCTCAAGAAACAAGAAAAGTCTCAAACAACCTAACTTTCCATCTAACAGAATTAAAAAAGAAGATAAAGCCCAAAGGTAGCTAGTAGAAGGAGGAAAATAATAAAGATCAGAGCAGAAATAAATAAAATAGAGACCGAAAAAAAAAAACCCAAAAAAAACCCACCAACAGAAAAGACCAATGAAACCAAGAGCTGGGTTTTTGAACAGAGAAACAAAACTTATAAACCTTTAGTCACAATCTTCCAGAAAAAGAGAGCCCAAATAAAATTAGAAACAAAAGAAAAGTTACAGCCAACATCACAGAAGTACAACAAACAATCATAATACCACAGTTATACACCAACAAATTGAACAACCCCCCAAAAATGGATAAATTCCTAGACATTGCAATCTTCTAAGACCGAATCAGGAACAAATAAATAGAAAATATGGACAAACCAATTACGAGTAATGAAATTGAATCAGTAATCAAAAAACTCCAAAAAAACTAAAGCCCAGGACCAGACAGCTTCACAGGGCAATTCTACCAAACATTTAAAGAGTCAGTACCTAT